TATATATATATATATATATATATATATATATATATATATATATATATATATATATATATATATATATATATATATATATATATATATATATATATATATATATATATATATATATATATATATATATATATATATATATATATATATGAAATATAGGGATTGTTAACCTGAAAAAAAAATCTGCAGTCTTTCTAAACACTTTTTATTCTTAAGGCACCATGACATAAATTGGAAAAGAATATATTATGCCAATTATAACCTAATAAGTATTCTTCTATCACAACTGCCTAATTTATATGGCAGACTCATCAGTAGTTTCCAATCACTTAGCAGAACATCAACTCCAGAAATAAAAAAAAAACATTGAAATTCACCAAGTGATTAGGGTGCAGCTACATACATTTAGTAAATCAAATATGGATCATAGAGGTTTATAACCAAGACAAATTTCTGCATTCATACATACAGGCAGGCATCCAATCAATGGAAGTGTATTAAATTGTTTAAAACCCACCTTCAACATAAGGTCCCTCCTTTGGATGTTCACGAATTCTTAAATTATTTGTTTCTGAAGACTTGCGCCTCAATAAATCCCTGACACGCTCATTGTAAATTTCCAGGTAACTGAAATATGAAATAAATATACTATATATCAAAACATTATTCAAGTTTAAAATTTCATCTATTCCACTGAATCAAGATTAATAGTTTAGTTGCAGCTCTCCAAGGAAAAAGGCTAGACTGATTTTGCTCTTCCCTAGGTAGCCTATATGTCATCTGTCATACTATTCCAGATAAACCATCAACTCCCTAGAGCAGATTTTTCAAAATGCCCAGTCATCAGAAGAGACTTGGTTATGCTTTCAACAGTTTCAAAGAGGTCAGAAATAAAGAGCAGGCCTTCAAAGTAGTTAGTGTTTTTATACATTAGGGAAAATAGCAAAGAATGTGCAGTATTTAAGAAAGGTAAACAGGACTGCTGTAAATGGAGCAAAACAACCAGACCTTTTAGGGACTCTAAATAGAACTGAAACTGTGGAGAGCGTGCTTGTTTCATTGTTAAATAAGGGTATAGAACAGTAACTCAGTTAAAAAAGACAAATCAATTCAGGAACCTTTGTTTCATTCATTCTTGCACTGCATCCTGACTCTTGAAAATTCTTTCCTCCCCCTGAATAAACATGCTGCCTTGAACTACTCTTCTAATGAAGAAGGAAAAATGCAGCAAAAAAGGAGAAAGAGATGAGGATGTTGATGATATAGCCATGTTGTCACTACGCAAACATACCTGACCTCTGTTCGAAAGGAGGCTTCATTCCATCTTGTTTTCTCATTTACTCGGTTGAATAATCCTTCACAGATCCGAGGTATTAATCCAGTATCTCCCTACCAAAAATAATACATTGATATATACTGCAGGGGTCTTCAAACCTGGCCCTTTTATGACTTGTGGACTTCAACTCCCAGAATTGCTCAGCCAGCATGCCTGGCTGAGGAATTCTGGGAGTTGAAGTCCACAAGTCATAAAAGGGCCAAGTTTGAAGACCCCTGATATACTGCAAGACAAAAAGTCACTGATACAGAAAATATTCCATTCAAAAACGGGAAACTCTTAGGTTTCAACAAGTCCTTTCAATTTTAAAGTGCAGAAAATCAGGAGTCCAGGCAATTCAAATGAATATATAGGTTTATTGCAAGCTTAAGCTCTCTACAAAAAGCTGAACTACTAACGTTCAAAGCAATTTGACGGTAGTTAATAGTCAACAGAATTCAAGATGGGCAGAACTTAGAAATCTGGTGGTCACAAAGTGACTTGAGACTGGTGACACATTTGATCCCTTCCTCGTGCTCAGCCTGATCATTCATTGTTCTCCATGTATATAATTTGGGAAGGCCAGTATCACTAAATAGCTCTTCACATGTCTAGCTACACTTACAAAATGTAAATAAGCAAGTTAACGTATTTAAAATATTTGTATGGCTACCCAGTTCAATCAAATAACTCTGGGAAGCATATATAAAATTCTACAGAGCCGAACAAAAAGAATATAAAACCACATTATGTAAACCAATACACAATAATAAAATAATGAAATGGTGATCCAAATGGCAATAACATTCTCATCTAATTGGGGCTCCAAGAGATCATCTCTCAAAGGTTTTGACAGCCTTTCTAAATGCCATCAGGATCAGGACCAACCATATCTTGGGAGGAAGGATGTCACATAAGATAAAGATCACTACCAAGAAGATGCACTCCTCGGTCTCACCATACGGCTTGTTTCACTGATGGAATATGGAGTACAGCCTCCCTATGGGAAGGTATGGGGTGGACAATAGCAATAGCACTTAGATTTATATACCGCTTCATGGTACTTTACACCCCTCTCTAAGCGGTTTACGGAGTCAGCATATTGCCACCAACAATCTGGTTCCTCATTTTACCAACCTCGGAAGGATGGAAGGAGTCAACCTTGAGCCGGTGTGAATTAAACTGCCAAACTGCAGGCAGCTGGCCAGGCAGCAGAAGTAACCTGCAGTACTGTATTCTAATCACTGCATCACCATGGCTCATGACTTTTTTTAAAATTCTTGCTTTTATCTGTGCCAGATATTGTTAGCACTTTCTACACGTAAAGCATTTATTAAAATTATGTTTCCTAATATAATACAAAAGGCATCAACTTATAAGAAGTATATTCTGAAATGAGTAACTTACAGCATTTCCCATCATTGTATAAGACTTCCCAGATCCAGTCTGTCCATAGGCAAAAATACAAGCATTATAACCTTCAAAGGCAGATTGGAGGACATCAATTCCAAGGTTGTTAAATACCTGGGGATCCAAGAATGACAGAAAGTAAAATAAAA